CCTGGAGGTGGGGAGGTCGGGCAGGGGTGGTGATGAGAGGTCAGCAGGTGATGTGCCGAGGAAGCCCTTTGGGTGCCCGAAGGGGGGGCGCCCACTCCCTGCTTGTGGGGCCCTCCCCTGCCCGCCGCCCGCCTCATCACATTCTCCTCTTGTCTCCGTAGCTTCCGCCCTGCGCTGCCAGTCTCCTACCTGCAGGCCGAGCTGGCCTTCGAGGGCGAGGCCGCCTGCCGAGCCTTCCTAGAGCCCCTGGGCCTGGCCTACACGGGCCCGGACAACGCCAGCATCGACTGCCGCCTCAGCCTGGCGCAGCTATCAGCCTTCTGAGCACCAGCGCGGATGGGGGCGGGGTGGGGGCAGGGCTGTGGCTCCCCAGCGCCGCCTTTGCCGTTTTGTTTTTGAGCCATGGACTTGGGTTGTAAATTAATTCACGGGGAGCGGGCTCCAGGAAGAGCCGTCATCCCTGACCCCGTTTTCCCACCGGGGAGCCTGTACAGAGATTTTTTTCTACATTTTTATTTTTTGTCTCAGAGGGACGGGACTGGGGGAGGAGGGGGTGGGACAGCGGAGGGCTGGGGGCATGGTCTGTAGGCTGCTCTGTGTCCACCTGCACCTCTACTAATGCTGTCTCAGTGTTTTCTCTCTCTCTCTCTCGAGCTTGTACTCCGGTACCGACCTGGCACCCTGGCCCGTCCCATGCCGGGGGGGGCCGGAAGAAGACAGGCCGCTCCGCCCGTGCCCGCCTGTGGCGGGGGCACCAGCACACCAGCCCGCCTCCTGCCCCCCGCCTGCCTCACCACAGACTCTTGTTGCCCAGCCCTCCGGGGCCTCAGTGTTTGGGGCTAGGGGAGCCGCGTAGAGACTGTGCCCCACCCTCAGCCCCCCACGCCAGAAATGCCGCCGCCAAGCCGCCGCCACGTCCACGCCGCCACTGCACGCTGAGGACTCCGGAGGCCATCATCATCGCGGGACCTCGGCCGGGCCGCCTCGTCTGCAGTTGTATTAAGTTGTCTCCGTGTCCCTCCTCCCTCCACCCCAGTGTTTCTTCTGGTTTTTTTTTCCTTCCCTCCCTCCTCCTCCTGCTCCCCACCCTTCTTTGGTTCAGCACAGGTAAAACGGTTACCCTCCCTCCCTCCCTCCCTGCCTTCATGGATCACCAGCTCACGTCATGTTTCCTTCTCTTTTCTTTTTGTGTGTGTTTATTTAAGTTATTTTTCTTCCTCCCCTTTTTCTTTTTGGCCCTCCCCCCTCTTCTGCCATGTAACTGGAGGATGTGCAATGAGTTTGCAAACAGCTGGACTGTCAGGCTGCTTTTTTTCCAGATGTTCCTCCTCTGCCTCCCCTCCCTTCCCTCTCCCCTCCCTTCTCCTTCCTTCATTCTTTTCCTTGGATCACTGAGCACCATTTGGAAGCTTGAGAGAAACCAAAATTAAAGAGAGAGAGAGAGAGAGAGCACTTTGTCCCTTCCTGCGTGGACTGGGTCTTCTCCTGTTCTTTAGGGTGGAGATCTGCCTCCCCCAGAGGTCTGAGCAGGGGCGGTCACCCCAGGGGCATCTCAGCCAGGGGCTGGTAGGTATCTCCTGCCCTGCCCACGCGGCACAACCAGAGCTTCCCCAGGGGCTGGCTCCCTAGCTCCTGTCCAGGGATGAACTTGGGCTCGGGGAGGCAGACTTGAGAACCTTGGGGCACCTTGGCCAAGGTGAGGTGGGGGTGTAGCCCCCCTAGGGGCTGAACTACTCTGAGCCCCTCCGCCTCTAGCCTCTGTCTCAGCACTTGGGCCATATTTTCCAGGGAGGGGCAGGGAGGGGCACAGAGTACATGGTGCCTCAGGAGAAGCAGGCGCCTAAACCTCACCTGCGGGGGGGCCTGAAGCCCTGGAGCCGAGAGCGCACGTCTCAGTGCACCGAGGGCCGCGGCTACCTCTCCAGGGCCTGCTAGCCTCAGGAGGGCCAGTGTCAGGTGCAGCGCGCCCGCGGGTACCATGAACGCGGCGCACGAGGGCGTGGCTCGGACCAGCTCTTCTTGGGCCCTGGCTACTCTGGCCTGCAGCCCAGGGTCAGTCACCATGAGAGCCACAAAATGCGTGGGGCGGGGCTGGCGAGGCCCCGCGGCCCTGGCCCCAGCGGCCTCTCCGCAGTCCGAGGGCCAGGCCCCAGGACCCCACTCTGCTTCGGTTTCCAGGAAATCTCCCGCGGGCCTTCCCGGGGCAGCCTGGGCCTGCTCCTTCCCGCCCTGTGGCTCCGTGGTCCTGGCTGCGGTGGCTGGACTCCGCCCCACTTCTAGTTCTGTCCAGTGGGGTGCTCTGTGCTCTTCCACTCGGATGTTGGCAGGGGCGGCACCTACGCCGCCGAGCGCATCCTTTTCGCTGTGTGCGTCCTGGGCCCCGTGGGTGTCTTCGCCGACGTGGGCATCCTCGCCATCATACGCGTCCTGGGGCCCGTGGGCATCCTCGCTGTCCCTCGCATCTCGGGCCCCATGGGCATCTTCGCAGACATGGGCATCCTCACCTTCATGCGCGTCCTGGGGCCCATGGGCGTTGTCTTCAGCGACATGGGCATCCTCGCTGTCACGCGTATCCCCAGCCTCAGGGGCGTCTTCGCGGGCACGCGCGTCCTCGCCATCGTGCACATCCTGGGGCCCGTGGGCGTCTTCGCCGACATGGGCATCCTCACCGTCGTGCGCGCCCCCGCTGTCGAGCGCGTCCAGGATGGTGGGCCCGCGGCCGGCCGCCAAGCCCGAGCCGAAGACGTGGTCCGTACGCGAGGCGCGGTCCCACACGAGGCGGCCCCGGAAGCGGAAGTAGCGCACCCGGTGCTGCGGCACAGCCAGCACGCCGGGTCCCAGCGCCGCCAGCGGCTCGTCCCAGCAGAAGGCGCCGAAGGGCTCCTCGCGCACGCCCAGGAAGCGGTCGGCGTAGCCCACAGAGAAGTCGGCCGGGTCGAGGCGCGGGTCCCAGCGGATGCGCTGGATGACGGCCGCGGCCGTGCGCAGCGGCGGTTTTTTGGCGCCGGCCTCGGCCTCGCGGCTAGGCTGTGCCGAGGCCGGCGCTCCGGGGTGGGGCTGGCGGCAGCGGGCGCCGAAGCGGCAGCGGCCCTCCAGGAAGAAGCGGCAGGCCGACGGCGGCGACTCGGGCTCGGCCGCCATGGGGGCGGAGTGCGCCGAGAGCGTCTGCGGGCCGCCGCAGGCCCGGCCGTGACGTCACCCGCCCCCGCCGCCCCGGGAACGGCGCAAGCTCGCTCGCGGAGCCGCCGATCCCGGGCCTGGCGGACCGTTCTCCACGGAGGTGCCCTCAGGCAGTCTGGCCCCCGCCTCCTCCGCGGACCAGCGATTCACGTGTGTGGCCCGCTCCCCGCTCCAAAGGGTTTCACGCTCGGCACCGCCTCCGGGGTGCCGGCCTCCGTCAGTGCCCTCAAGGAACCGGATCCTCCTCCCTCTGCGGCCTCAGCCCAGAAGATGTACCGGTGCGACCCCGCCCCCTCTGGGGCCCCAGGGTGCCCGGCTTCGCCTTCCGCCGCGTCTGCGTGTACAGCCCCGCCTCTTCTAAGTTCTTAGAGAGTCTGGCTCCGCCCCCGCCTGGTGATTTGTATGGAGGTCCCGCCCCCTCAGGGGCCCTCGGGGAGGGGGGGGGTGCCTAGGTTCCACCCTTCGCCTAAGAGTTGCAGGGGTTGCCCCGACCAGCTCTGGCCATTCCCGCCTGCAGCGGGACAACTGGACCCCGGCAGGCTCAAACTAGGTAGCCGTGACATGGGACGCCGCTGTCGCCCTCGAGCCGACGCATCTGGGGCTGGGAGGGTCTCTCCTCCACCAGGACCCAGCCTCTTCCCGGACACTTACCTGTGCGGTCACTCACAGGATAAAGGGCAGCTTCCCCAGGGGGTTCACTGGAGACGCGGGACTGCACTTGGTCCTCTGGAGCGAGTCAGGTGGCCCCCCGGGAGCGACTCAGCAGCCTCCCGGGCAGCGAGTCACGCCGGCCCGGCCGCAAGTCAGGTGCCCCATCCCCCTTCCGGGAGCGAGTCAGCGGCCCCCTCCTGGAGTGAATCAGGTTGCTCCCCGGAGCAAGTCAGGCCAGGCCCTGCGTCAAAATTGATGAATGAATGAGGCTGTGAAAGCCCACACGTGGGGACACCGCCCCTAAAAGGGGCACCGTCTAACCACGCCTCTCCTCTGTTAAAGGGGCCACATCTCACCAGGGCAATCATCCGACCTCGACTTCGGTCCAGTCTTCGCGGGGAATAGAGGTCGAGGTGACACACTTGGCCCTTAAAGGCGCCGGGACCCCATCACGGACACCCCTGCTCCCCCGCCATGTTCCCTTCCTACGTGCAAAATAAACAGGCAGAACCCGGGGCAGAGACCTTAGCCATTTATGTATAAAGAAGTGGGGTGCCAGATGGTAAAAGCATCAGGAACAGGGGTGCCTACAGGCCGATGACGTCGTCCCTCTCGAGGTCCGCGTTGGGGTGGCAGCGGGCCCTGGGGTGCTGTGCCCCGGAGCTGGGGTCCAAGTCGGGCTTGGCGGCAGCGGCCCCCGGGCGCTCCGCGTCCATGACGCCCAGCACCGCGTCCAGCATGGAGGGGCCTAAATCCAGGTGGA